CATTTGCTGTCCTATATCAATGGTGCACGGTTTGGATACATAATAATTTGAAAATAATATGATAAATGCTGTGCTGCTATTTGGACATTGAATGGATGACCTTGCCAATGAAGAGTTTGTTTCTGTGACAACACAGAAATGTTAATATTCATGCACAGACACATGCACTTTTAAACCAAGACTCCCTGAAAAAGTCTAATTTTAGATCAAATGCTTGCAGTGTAGTCAGAGAAGATGCCATTTACATATACCCTGCATATACATGTGTGTATATGTACAATGTAAATGTGTATGTGTAATCCAATGTATTAAAAAATGTCCTTGGCAATCAGTATTAAGCAATGACGCATGCATGTCTCTCATTTTTTGTAATCCAATCTGTTCCAGAGACAAACTCTGAAATAGCTCTTGTAGTGGTTGGTCATTGCTCAAAATCATAATTAAAAAAGGCTTAATACTGAGAGCACATAATACGCCACCATTTTCTAAAACTGTGAGAGTACAGGTTTGCTATTGACCCCTCTCCATCACTGACTGTTGAGTTCTAATCTATTACATACTGTACAGTTGTGGATCCTTAGCCTGAATGAATGTGCAGCTCTTAATGGGATTATCCCACAAGCCTCAGTGCTCTTATTCCCCTCGACATCCTTCTAACTGGCTCGCTTTTGATCTTCTCCTTACGTGGAATTAATCTCAAACCTGCTCAACCGTGATGATTCAATTAACCAGCGGATGTCTTTTTTCGCTCTGTGTGTTGCAATTTTCAGTCTTCATTAGAGAATGAAACACACTTCGGATGCCATCGAAAGGGATAAAGTCTGATTATTTGTTTCTGGCACTGGGCACAGCAGTCTTGAATACTCTGTAATGTATTTATAGTGGTCTGTGATGGTGGATTTGAAATGAGTTTGTCGCTTCTCAGGTCAAACAGGTCACAAGTCCTTGTGGATGAGATGGGACCCAGTACAGAAAGAGACATGCTTGCTTTATTAATAACTTTGAAATAACTGAAATAGGAAATGATGTTTATTTAAGATATTATTCACACTAGACTGAAATCTGTTACTTCTGTTCTATGTCATTATTTTATTATTTATTATTTCTTTCCAAAGAGCTTTTCTCCATCAGTATATTTTCTATGATAGTTTGTTTTGGCCTTTTACGCTTTAGGTTTCACTTAGTAACATTGAACATGTTTCATGAGGGAATCATCAATCAGACTTCATAAGGTCTGAGTCTGAGGGTATAACTTCTTTTGAATCAAAATCAGAATCAGAGTTTATTACATACAATGAATTTGTCTTCATATGTTGGTGCATGACAATAAACATAGTATGAGAAAAATATAAATAAAGATGAAAGCAAGTACTGCAAGTCAAGAAGCATAAATAGAAAAATCTAAAATTGACAGTAACATATGGAAAAAGACAATCAGCTGTTATTTTAAATGAAAGAGCTTAGACTTTGTGCAGGTATGCGCAAAATATTGTCTGGGGAATGTGAAATGAAGAATAAACTATAAAGTATGTTTTCAGTGTCCAAGATTAGATTAAATAACTTTACTATGCATGTTAAACATAACTGACTCCCTCCCCATAGTCAAGGCTAATATCAAACTAACACCATCTACTGCACAAAGGTTTCAGCATTCATAACTGACTTGTTCCTCAACATTTGTATACTTCAATTCAATTCAATTCAATTTTATTTGTATAGCACCAATTCATAACAGAAGTTATCTCAGGACATATTTCAAATATAGCAGGTCTAGACCGAACTCTTTATAACGTTATTTACAGAGACCCAACAGTACCACCATGAGCAAGAACTTGGCGACAAGGGCAAGGAAAAACTGCCTGTTAAAAGGCAGAAACCTAGGACAGATCCTTCGGCTCTAGGTGGGTGGTCATCTGTCGACCAGTTGGGGTGAGAGAGAGAGAGAGAGAGAGAGAGAGAGAGAGAGAGAGAGAGAGAGAGAGAGAGACAGACAGACAGACAGACAGAGACAGAGACAGACAGACAGACAGACAGACAGACAGACAGAGACAGAGAGAGAGACAGACAGACAGGTGCACAGTTAGTAACATGCATTAATGGGACATGAATGAGTGCAGAAAGAGAGAGGAAGAGTGGAGCTCAGTGCACCATTTGAAATTCCCTGATAGTCTAGGCCTATAGCAGCATAACTAAGGGATGGTTCAGGACTCACCTGATACAGCCCTAACTATAAGCTTTATCAAAGAGGAATGTCTTAAGCCTACTCTTGAATGTGGTGAGGGTGTCTACCTCCCGAACCACAACTGGAAGCTGATTCCACAGGAGAGGAGCTTAAAACATAATGATGGGCGCTCTGAAAGCTCACCTGGTAGAGCTGGAGCCCCATGCACCAAGGCCCCACTGCAGCAGCCCAGGGTTTGAGTCCGATCTGTGACCCTTTGCCACGTGTCATCCCCTCTTTCTCTCCCCCTTTTCCTTTCACTCTTCAGATGTCACTATCCATTAAATAAAATAAAATAAAAAAAACATTTGGAAAGTGATCACAAAGTTGTTGCTGAATAGTATTGTCATTGTCACATATGTGTGACCTGCCATGTTCCCATAGTGAAAAACATGTGTTTTCAGTGGCATGAACAGTACGAATCCAGGTGTTGTTATTGTTCAAACTTCAGGCTTTTTACAACCTGGATCATGTTTTCATAGTCATAATTCTTTTGGTTAAGATAACATTTTTTCACGCAAACTGAAGCCATGGACTACTTAATGTGAACAATGCCTGTAATGAATGCAAACTATAAAATATCAGGGACAAAACAACTGTGATCTGAGTTGATGCTTGAAATGATTGCAAATAAAAGTAGACCTGTTACTTACAGCTAATTACTTTTAACACTTTAGTTCAATTCAGTTCAATCCGGTGATGTTTTTGCCTGTTAAGGATTATTGCTATACATACATTAGATGATTGAGTGAGATCTATTTATAATTACTGCCCTTTGGCTGTTGCTGCATGCATGACTAGATCATCTCCTTTTAGCATAACATCAGTATAATTCATCAAGAAATGGTAATTATGGGGGGAAAAAAGTACCCTGTCCATATATTTGGTACAACATCTGGTGTTGGCAAACATACAGCAGATCAAATTTAATATTCTATATAATATAATCAAGTCAATCAAAAATAACATGGTTGTAAGGATTAATATGTAAGAACAGCCAGACCAATCAAGCAGCATGATCTTTTTACCTGACAGCTTGGCTTATGTTGGAGGTTTGTGGGACAGTCAGCAAATAAACCCCCACTGATATGCAAGAGAATATGTTTTACATGCCTGATGGAAAGAGTATAAATCAACTTTACTTCACTGCAAGACACATGTAGATAATAATAATTTACGTCCATAAATGGACACTCATTGATGAAAACACACATACTTGTCCATTGTTTAATGTATGTAGCTCTGTGGTTCTGTGTACAACTTAGAGAGAGTGTTAACTGAGAGCATTAAATACGTCTATTTCACAAGTTAACATGAGCAAATGACCCAGAGCAAACACATCACAACATATTACAAACAGCGTGCTGTGCACAAACTTATATGTGATTTACTGTAATGTACAATAGGATCATCAAGCTGAATTTACAGTAACTGAGAGTGGAGGTCCTGTATGCATTAGCTCTATTTTGCATTGACATGACTCATAGAAAATATTGTTTTATGTGTGTTTTAGTGTGATTATGTTTGAAAGATTAACTTAATTGATCATTTTAGAATAATACAAAGTCCATTTGTGGTGATTAAAGAATTTAATATTATATTTTATTAAATGTATTATTATAACCACCGAACATCAGAGAATGACCTTCTCGATTGCTGTGGACTGTGATGAATACAGTTTACACACAGGGATAGAGGAGTTGTTGCATAATGGTTAAACCCCAGTTGATTTGTTTTACCTTTTATTTTGCAGACCACATTACCTCAAGAGCCACTGAACAAAGGAGTGTATGTTTATTTATATTCAGTCACTGTGTAATAAACCACTTTGAATAGAGATCAGAGCTGATAATCAGCTGGCTGTAGTCTTGATCTGCTCTTTCAGAAGTGCAAACAAGGTCAATTGGTAATTTCTTGGTTATGACACTTTAAAAAAATGGCCATTAGTTATACAGTTGCAATATAATTACTCCAGTAAATAAAACTGTGACCCATGGCTGCCATAGGATTGTAAACTTTAACAAATTGATCTGCAGCTTTTAATGTAGTATTTTCTTACTTTTCCAGCTGTTATTTTGTACTCAACTAGATTATGATTATATTACATTTTCCTTTTTTCACATGCAAAACACAATACACAAGTGCCTAATCCTAACACTTATATGAAAACACTTATTACATAATAACATATGAATAATGGAAGACTCTCAAGAGGATTTTTTTTTCAGATTGAGTACTTTTAACTAGCTTTTAATGACACATTTTGTGTAACATTTGTTATGTTCTGACAACCAAAAACTGACACACACACACAAATAGTTATGGAGTTGATTGGTTACAGGATACATATTTTATTTCACCACCCTAGAGTTTGTGTACCAACTTGAGATTTCTCCTATACTGCCCTCTACTGCCTAGTTTTATTAATTACACACAGTTTTGTGCATGTATCCTTTCCATTTGAAGTTGTTCTTTCCTCTAAAATATAGCTTATATAAATAAACTAGCTACAGTTTTCCTGTATGAATGAAGTTATGAATGTATTAGATTTTTTTTAAAGAACAAAAAAAACAGCTGGCAAAGCTGTTAAATATGAGTGAACATTGGAAAATTGTCATCAGTGTTTTCAAAGAAATTGGTATTTATTTTGTAACACCAGTTTATATTCGGTACTTGCTATATGTATACATATTCCAAAAATATACAGTATCTGTTAAATGTGGAAATGAGTCAAAAATAAGAGGACTTTTTATTATTATTAAACTTTATTAATATTCCAAATAATTACAGATATACAGTCCAAAAAGCTAAATTTCTTCAGTAGTTCACTAGGATTTTAGATTTCAAAGGTTTTCCTCAAGTAAGGAAAAATTTCAGAGATCACCACTGCCTCAAAAGATTATGCTTTCACCACCTCTGAACACTCAAAGAACCACAGCAAATTCCATTTTTTACAGGACGAGAAATTAGGACAGTAAGCTTCAAATTAGGAGTGTAATGATGGCTAAGGGCCCTAAAAGGAGAGGGACAAAGACTCCAGTGTGTTTTGCTCCATTACACAGGTCTCCAGCACAACATCTGACACCATCAGAATAAACATTATTGCACATATCACTTCTCATGCATTGTTTGGTGATCATATTTTCAGCAACTGCAACAGAAAAAGGTCCATTAAATAAGTTACAATTTGTAATAGCAGTAACAGAATGTCAGACCATGTTGTTCATAAGGCTAAGCAAAGATCACACTATATAGAACATATAACATTAAAGCCACATGAGGTAGAAAATTCAACTTACCAATGGTGGTGGAACAGCGGTCGTAATGGTCAGCACAGGTCCATACCTGATTACAGGTGCCAGGGTTTGCACCCCAGCAGGTGAAACACTTTAACCCACACACTGCAGCAAAAGGAGAATGCAAAATGTTCACATAAGCCGACAAAAATAATTTCTGCATTAAATTCTGTGCTGATTGAAATGAGCATCTTTGGTCTTACCTGCTGGTAGCAACATAGAGATGAACACCAAAGAGACACACAGCCTCATTTTGACTCTTCAAGTGAAAGCTTGTGGGAGCTCTTATGTCAAATGAACATTACCAACTTCCTTGTATGTTTTATAGCCTAACAACATTGGTTTTGTTCCAAAAGACAAATAATATTTGTTTATACATTTGTTTCCAATTGGGGAGTGTCCACCAGCCATTACAATGTATCATGCTCATTTATTATACTTGTTCATGGCTGTTTACAGTCCCATCTATTCATCCCTAATCCCCTTTACTAAAGAATTCCAGTGTCAATAAGAGTTTGAACGGCATATTTGTCCTTGTATTTGTGCAGGTCATTTAACCAAAACACTTCTGAGAGACTGAAGCTGCCCCACCTGCAGATGTCAATGTGTCACTAATCAGTATTTATACATCCAAAAAGAGCTGCAGTGACCTGGCAGAATATTAATATCATAGATGTATAAATTGCCTCGTGAGGGCTTCCTCGAAGTACTGCATATATGCTGATGATACACTTTAAGTGGTTTAAAATCCCAGTTAAATACCAACATTGGTTCTCTGTGAAGAGTGATCTGACTATTCACTATCCCTGCTCAGAAAATCCAAATTTAGTGTCCGCCTTCAGAATGTAATAATTGGAGCATTAACGCTTTGCTAACACACACTCATACACACACACTTTGAGCTGTTTAGTGTAGATCTCTAATAGCATTAATAGGTCTACGTCATTAATCTGCTGCCAGCAAAGGAGGAGCAACTCAGAAAGACTCTCTGAGTAGCAGGATTTAAAAGGACCATTCACACAAATAATTAGAACACTAATTTCGCATGGCAGGATGCCTTTATTTATAAAGTATAATCCCCACTACTCCTTCTCTAAGCATGTAAAATGAGATGAAAGTGGCTAAGTTATAGTATTAAGCAGCCACCTCTGTTTGGTTTGTCTGGTGTCTGTCAGTAATGAGCTTGGCCTGTTACCCCTGGATTAAGGCCTTGTACAGGAGGCAGGTGAGGTCTGAATGTCAGGTTAACTACCAGTTGCTGAGGAGTAATTCATCCCTTGGGCATTTTTTTTTTTATTCCTGATGGTATTTTCTTTTTCTCTTTGAGAGTTACTAGACAGATAAACAATCTTATCATCAGAAGAATATGAACCTATTTGCTGCAGCAACTTTTATTCATTGTTAGTTATTGAGTTATAGTGCAGGACAAGCAGGGGTTCAGTACTTAATTGCAAAGGTCGTGACATGATTGTCCAATATAGCTCCATCTTATTAAGTCTGGCAGTCGGCCATGCCCTGATAACTACATCTCTGTCTGAGCCAAAGAAGGAACTAGGAGAGCAGTGGGAGGTCAACAAGTCTGAGTGTGAGTGTGTCCTGTACTTTGTGTGTATCTGAGTTGTGCTTTCTTTCCTGTTTGTATCTCTTTTTTATTATCTTGTTTTGTATTTGTTTACCAGTAATATGGAAAGCAAATAGTTTCTTATCTAATCTTACATTTTGTTTATCACATTTCAGTGTGCTTTTAAGGAAAATGAATATGGCTTGGTTGGATTTGATCCACAAGAAGTGACGGTATTTAGATATTATACTTAAGTAAAAATACTAATATAAGAATGTAAAAATACTCTATTACAAGTAAATGTACTGCATTCAAAACCCTACTTAAGAAGAAGTACTGACAGCAAAATGTACAAAGTACTGATACTCCAGAAAAATGCCCCCCCCTTGATACTAAGGCATCAGTGTGGAAGCAGGATTTTGGTATTGTGCCAGGTCAAGGTGGAGCTAATAACATGTTCATTTTTGGACTTTCCTCTAATGTTTGATTTTTTTAATATGAAATATTGGATAATATTGTATTGATAATATTACCTGTGTAAATGTACTTTCCACTGCAGCTGTCAAGCTTAGTTCTATTCATATTTTAGGTTTAAAGTAACTTTTCTACCACAGAGGTTGTAACATCACCAAAATGGTAAAACATCTGCCAATAACACTGCTCGGTTCTTCAAGAGAGTTTATTGTGCTTAGTATTCATGTACATGTTATGAATTTATTGTGCATGAAAGTCGGTACAGTGCTATACATGCCACGAATATCTTGTAAGACCAACATTTTAGCGACCAGCGGTTGGAGCGCCTGCTCTATACGATGATTCCCAGCAGAGGAGAAGTTCACTTTCTGAACTGAGGGATGGGGGAGGGGATCTTGATGTCCTGCCCCCTCTCCAGCCTCTTCTCACATTCAATAAGGTAGTTTATGCCATCAATCACTAATTGTACCAGCTCCACCTGTGGATACACAGTAATTAGTGTCAAAAATCACATGACCAATATGTACATAGTTGTTACAGGTTCAGGTTACATTCAAATCCATGCAAATGATCTACAATGGTCCTCGCAATTACCTAACTCAGTGGTTCTCCAGGATGTGTCACTGAGGCTCAGAGTGTTTCATTTGATTTTATTAACTCTTGATGATTAGTTCCTCTCTCAGGTTGAAGGGGTGCAAATAAGTGAAATCAGCTGGTTTTGCTGAAAATAGTTTTAAAGCCAGCTTTTGTACTTTATCTGAAGTAGCTTTTTACAATTAACTTTACTCCATTTAACTTTGAGTGGATATCAAAAGTGACGCCTGAGAAAGACCATTTGTGGTCGAAATGCTTTCATGGCCACAAAGAATAAAACATTTTTTTACTTTTTTTTAAAGTATCGATGCTTCTACTTACCTGAAATATTAGTAACTTATCATTAGTTACAACTGAGTACTTCGACACCGCACTATTTCCATGGAGAACCATTGACCGTAACTTTAAATTTAAATTCTCTGTGATTTGCTGTGTGTTGTCTACTAACTAGAAAACCTTGTTCTGGCTTCTGGCAGCATTGGCAAGTTCAACTAACACCAGGGGACTTCTGATTCTTAAGTTGAGCCTTTAGTCCTCAGGGAGGACTTTCACTGCTTGAGTGTTATTGGTAGACTCTAACCACAACCATAATCCTGACCTTACCCATCTATGACCTTTAACAGCCTTTGATTGGCAGTCCCTGTTGGAGGCCTTCATCACAGCCTGTGTGGAAGTGCAGCATGAAAGGCTCAGCTCAGGAAACAGAAGTCTTTTAACCTCACCTGGCACATCCCTGCCTGGATTACAGATTAAAGAACAGCAGGGGTTTCGGTCATTCACAACCCACACCTGTGGGGATGTCTGCACTCCTCTGTCTGACTCTCTTAGCCTGCTGCTCTTTTCTACTTTGACTTCAGCTGCTGCCTTCCCCCTCAGGTGTTTACCTCTGACTTGCCCAGACGGTCGAGGTTAGAGATGTCAACGGTGTCTCCAGTTGCAGCTGTATCAACACCTCCTGTGCCTCTCTTCTGTAGCCTCAGGTTATCCAGGATCTTCTTGAAGCGAGGATCCTGGATCATAAACATCACATTAAACATCAGTCTCAATTTCAGACATGAGAGCTAACATGGGGAAGAATACGTGTCCCTGTGTGTGCTGTCATTTACTGCCAGTGTGTTTCCCACATTACCCTGCTGAGGAAGGGCAGGCGAATATGCACACCAGCCCTGAGTCCGGTGCCGAGGTTAGAGGGGCAGGTGAGAATGTAGCCCAAACGCTCATTCCACATGAACTCCCAACCTCTCTCCTGAATCAGATGTTCCACCTGAAAGTTACAAGAAAAAACTGTTTATATTTTTGGAACGCACATAGAAAAACACACAATTTTAGCAGATCGGCCCTGTTTCTTTATTTTTGGTGAGTTAATTCCACTGTGTATTTTACTGTTATAGCCTAGTTTTAATACAGTGTTGTAGGCAATGATCTTAATTATGATTACTAAAATTAAGATGCAAGAAGACACAGAGACATGCATACCTGCTTAAGACCCTTGCAGAACCTTTCAAACACTCTCTTCATGTTTCCACCTTTCTCCATGGATATGATCCTTGTGTGGTCCTCCTCATTGATCCAGATTAAAAAGTTCTTCTCGTTGTTGTGCCTGAGACAATCAGGAAGGCAGAATTAAAAGCTGGGGTTTGATATCCACATATATACATCTGCTGATGCATTTAAATAATTTGACAATTAAATATTTTTCGGTCACATTCAGCAGAGTAAATGCCTCCAGTGTCTGGCCTGTCATGAGTCATGAAGGCACAGGTGGGGAGGTGTGGGTTGGAGCAGCACTACTTTATCAAAAAGGAAATGATCCTGAAGTTGGATTTATTGAGGTAAAGGAAGAGGGGAGGCATGAGAGAAGACATTTTGAATTTGAGAGAGACATTTGATCAGTGCAGAACATCTGTTTGAAAAATGTATTTCAGGCATTCAAAAAGGAGATAAAGTAACCTATTATTTTGGTTCTGCAGGAGCTTTTGGGATACTACCAGCAATGTATTATGCACTACATGTGTTGGAAAAATTGCGTTTACTGTATGGTACAACTAATGGAAAAAACATTCAAACATTGAATTCCAGCAGTGATTGAGTCTCAACCTGTTTGTTGTTTTTTTTTATGATTTTAAGCCTTGCAGCAATGGGGGCACAGTGTTTTCCACATAATCTTCTTACATAATTTTACTAAAAAACAGTGTAATCTAATTCAACTATATAATCCATTTCTCTCCAGTCATAATTGTCCAACTGTATGGTAGTCTATAATGCATAATTGCATAATGGCGTCAGACAGCACTCCCAAAATCTTTCCTAAATAACCCTTTGTACCTAAGGAATTCAAATTAGGCGCTGCTATGTTGCTAAAATGAAGTTTTGGAATAAATATTGTCACAAATAAGCTTTTTGTCTTATTTGTGTTATTGTCTCTCTAAATCCAGTAGTCCCCAGCACAAACCAGTGAATTCTGTCATTCAGCAAACCAAAAGAGAGTCATATCTCTTCAAAAACTATGTTTCTAAACTAAACTGTCTCTAGGCAAATTATGCAATGACTACCACTTTTTCAGGTTCTCTAGGACACAAGAACATCAGTACTTCTTCTAGACTGATTTTCTCCTAGTCTTACCAGATCCCACGAGCATCAGGCCAATCTCTGGCCATCCCAGCTGATGTGAGCAGAGGTGACACAGGTTTATCAAACAGGAAGTGCTCCTGATAGGCCAGTAAAGGGATAGAGGAATCAGGGAGGGGGCATTATATGGCAACGGTTATTAAAGAAAAAAGTAAGTAAGTATGTGTGTGTGTGTGTGTGTCTGCAGGTGTGTGTGTGTGTGTGTGTGTGTGTGTGTGTGTGTGCGCGCGTGCGTGTACTAACATCAATAAGCTGCTGCTGCTCTCTCTCGGACATCTCTCCCAGACTGTAGTAGCGACCCGCCAGGTCTCCCTTCAGGCCAGACAGAGCTGTCACAACCACACGCTCCACTTCACGGCGCTCAGAGCGTGTGCAAGCAGGGGGCAGACTCAGTCCACGGATGCTGCGACCAGTACGGACACGAGATGATAACACGTAGCGTTCATCAAACACTCCTGAGGTGACCTGAGGAGCAGAAAGTACTAGGTCATATAAATGTAGGAGTGGATATAGGAATTGATGGATGAATAAGATCATGTAAAGGACTGAAGATAAATGCAAGTATAACCTTGGAAGCATCCAGGTCAGTGGGGTGCTTCATTGTGCGAGGGTCATAGCCATTGTGTCTGTCCTTGATCACAGGGTCAAAGAGCTCAGCAAACACCTGATGGAAAAAAAATCAAACACTAAGTTTCTCCAATATGAGGACTGAGGACACAACAACTCACTGCAACAACATAATCTCCAACCTCGTAGCTCTCCTCATCTCCAGCCACCATGCCCACAGTCTTGATGAATGGGTGTCCAGGGTTGTCCACCCCGGTCTGAATGCATTGATCCACGGTCCAGTTGCTGGGTGTTGTCTTGTCCCTCAGATGTGCATATATGGATGGGGACAGAGCAGCTGCCATACAGTTGTTGTGCTTCCTCAGGTCAGGGAAATCAGCACTGTAGAAAGTTATCAACAAAGTGTTATGGCCAATGTAGTTTTTTGTATACCTGGCTTCTTTTCTTAGGTTCAGGAAGCTCCCAATCAACTAACTCCTCTTTTCCAGTCAGTGGCACCTACCTCCACCTCCCACACTCTCCCCTAGTTTGATTGTTGTTTGTTTTACTTTATATATCTAAAATGTGGTTCTTCCTTCATGTTCACGATAGTAAAGCTGTTTACATAGTGTAGTCTGTAACCCTCCCAAACACTTAGTTTACTTTAATGGTGCTTCAGTAGTATGGAAATATAAGCATACATTTTATACATACAGTTTTCAAAATACATATTTAACTACATATATATTTATTTTGTCCATTAATCATTCAATCTTTCAGATGTGCTAACGTGAGTTGCTATAATTCATGGGGTAGACTTTGCCAAGAACTTATGCATTAATAGACTAAGGCCTCTCTGTGGTGACAAACATCTTGTTGAAATTCAAAAGAGAGAAAACACACACGTGTATCTCTTATTGGCAGGTGATTATTGAAACACCACACACATACACACTCACACACGTACCTGGGTGGATAGAGCCTCTTCCTCTCAGCTGCAGCGGTGCTGTCACTGAAGAGGTATCCAGAGACCAGTGTGCCAGCTCCTACGCTGGCCAACATCACTGCCGTTGCCGTGTTACGGCCAGACATCATTCGGGTGAAAGAGTTCGCCATGGTTACGTGGTCTGGGTTATTACCTGGTAAAAGGTGAGAGGGCAAAGGTGACTTTCTATTGTGTGTTATTTATTTACTCAAAAAAGTTCAGTTATAATTTTTTGCCAGTGTAAGGTGCTATGCGTGTTTCAGTCAGTGACAACATGAGTTTACCACTGAACACCAAAGTGTGAATATCCATACTAATTAATAGTTGGTTATAGTCTCATTAGGGAGTTATAAATGTCAGGTTATGTGTTTATGTTTATTTGACACTGAGTTTAACTAAGCTTGAACTTTACTGCAGCATCCTGCCTGAATGTCACAGACGGCATTCAGATAATTGGGAATCAGATTGTTAAACCAGACAGCCCGCAGGCACAGAGGAGAGCAGAAAGCCAACAACCTGTAAATATCCAAGCAGAGTGTTTGTTGTGCAACTTTATAACACAACTGTGTATTTCTCTTCAGAAATCTCACAGTAGTGAGATTGTTGCATTGTGGAAGTGTATGAATGTGAAAACAGAGAGGTTGTTATGATTATTATAATAATTAAAGCCTTTAAAATGCATCTCATCTTTTGGATTGCAGTAATACATATATATTTGGAGGCAGCAGTAGTTGTGTCTTTTGTATTTAAATGACTGTTGACAATGTTGCAACACTTGAAAAACATTTTATTTTTGTTTTTGTTGCTCTGTGGCCACAGTGCTTCTTTACATTCAGACCTATTAACACACATCTTCACAGGAACATGCTCAGACAAAACTAGGCTACTAATTGCTAAATGCTTCAGTAACAGATACTCCTGCAGTCTGTGTGACGAGATTATTCTAGAAGCAGACAGAAGCCTTCTAATTGGTCACTCTGGGTGAGCCACCAGCTCAGGTGATCAGATGATTTGTGATTGGACACTGAGAGAGTTACTGCCAGATTAATATAATATTTCATTGCCCCTTCTAACACCTGTCAGCCTGATAATGTAAATCAAATCAAATCTGCCAATCACATGAGTTGACCTATATTGGCTTTTCATTAATATTTTTGGATTAAAACCCATAATACAAATACAGATTCTATATCTGTCTTGAGCTATGGGTCAAAGTCACCTTTCCCACCTCAGTCCATTCATTCTGTTAAAGCTGTTCACACTGCAGATATCCTGCTAGTATATATATATATATATATATAATGTTGTACATATGTGCATTACTTTGCACTTTACTGCTTTGCACTTCTGGTTAGATGCTTAACTAAATTTAACTGTCTAGTACTTGTGCAATGACAATAAAGTTGAATCCAATCTAATCTAATGCTCACACACACCATACACACACTCAAACACACAAACGCAGACACACAGAGGGTATTGTTAGTAGCAGTCATGAGGTTAAGCTGAAGTGCCAGTTTTGGCCTGGCATCAGCTGACATCCTGGGATGGTCAACTAAGCTTACACAAGACAAGCAGGCAGAAAATAGAGACAGAGAGAGAGAGAGAGAGAGAGAGAGAGAGAGAGAGAGAGAGAGAGAAGGAAAGGAGGGCAAATTGAGTTTGAGAGGAGCTGTGGAAAAAATACAGTCAAGGTGGATGTCTATAAGAAGAAAAGGGAAAAGAGGGATGCATGAGAAATTCTCACTGAAAATAAGAATCAAACATACTTGGAAAGGAGAAGGAGCAACAGGAAGGATGATAGTGTGGAGGTGAGAGGGGCAGTATAGGATGTTTTAAGGGTCACATTAAGGATAGGGGGAGGGGTTAAAGAGTGAGAGGCCACTTCAAAGAAAAGGTAGGATTAGAGGGATTCCCATCAGAGACGAGAAGAAGAGACCAGAAGATTAAATGAAGAGGGGAAAGTAATGAACCTTTTGACCTTTCCTTAAACGTGAAAAGACACATTACGAAGAGTGTTTTGTTATTTTGAATGGATTTTGTTTGGAGAGATTTTATCAACTGATGTTGAATGTAGGATGAACGATCACTTGTTATATATTAATTAGATTAAATAAAAGGGACCAGTTATTGACAGGTGGCTGGTCTCTGTTAATATCAGGCAGATTAAGAGGCCCTAATGCAAGAGGTTGCTGTGTAGGCTATACAGTGTGCTGTAAAGGTTCACCCATCAGTGAGGAAGAAGAAAGGCTCTTGATGTGTGCATACTAAACTTAATTTATATTATAGATTATTAAAAACATTTAGAGTGTATTCAGTTCTAATCAGCTCTTTATGCAAACTCTCACAACAATATAAATGCATTCAGAATATTTTCAGAGGACAATCAACGCCTCTAACTGATCAAAATGTTATCAAAAAGTTATCAAAAAGCTGATCAAAAAGTGAATAATGTTTAAAGGCAGCCTAAACTTCTGCTCTGACAGCTACTTTACTTCTCCAGGGGAAGCATGCAAGCATATGGAGGCAGGAAACAGACAGAGAAGACCTGCAAGAACAAGTACCAAGAGATGAGGAGGGAGACCACTCACCTGAGGGTTATCGAAAGAGTAGAGGCAGCAAACGGTCTGTGTCTTTCCTGCAGTTCAGTCCAGAGAGGCTCGATCTGCAGAGTAAGAGCAGACTGAAGAACAGAGATGGGATCACAGAGGGAGAGAGAGAGGGATGGGGACACTGGCTCGGGATTAGCTTCTCACTGGGCAACAGAAAGAAAATCCTCTTTCTACTGTCAGTCAGCATGTCTGCCTGCCTCTTCACACATGCACTCACACACACGCATGCTCAAACACACACACACACACACACACACACACACACACACACACACACACACACACACACACACACACACACACACACACACACACTTAGGAACTAACTACAGGCTTTTTCATGTGCTCTTCTTTACAATACAGGTGACAGACCTTATACCTAACTTATACCTGATTTGCTCCTTTAAATAACATGACTGAGATGATCAGTCAGTCTTTGCTGCTGCTCCACTTACAGAAATTCTTGACAACTGTGATAAATCAATCTGTAACAATTGATCATATCTTGTATGTAAAATCTTATTTGGAAAAGTGACTATAGCTCTTAAATAAATGTAGTGAAGTGCATAGTACAATATTTCTCTCTGAAATGTAATTTAAAAAAAAGTATAAAGTAGCATAAGATCCAGGACACATTACATTGAAACAATGGTTTATCTGTTATAGTTTTTAACTTGTTCTTTTAATACAACACTACTTACCAACAGCAGTCCAAGTACACTTTTGTTCTTAGCTGGGAGTGAGTACTTTTCTACATAATGGGTTTAATAAAATAAAAACTTTTTTTAATATGTTTTTTTTTTTTTTTGGGGGGGGGGGTTGCCTTTATTAGATAGGACGGCTAAAAAGTAACAGGAAAGGGGATAGAGAGAAAGGGGACAGGTCAGACTTGCAGCAAGAACTCAGCTTGCACATGTACAATGCTTGCTCTCAGTATTGTCGCTCAAAAGGAAGGCACATAAAAACAAGCATGTCCTGAGTCACACAGTGTAAAGTCTAGTTTCAGTACTGACATGGAGGGTGTGGAGAAAAGTTACATAAGGAGGCACAACAAACATGGAGAGTGTAGCCCAATGTTTCTACTATAAAGGAACATTTTTACTCAACTTTACATATTCATCATTATGCATTGTTTCTCTAGGTTCATATACCCTCTACTTATTTTTTTTATCCCAGTCAAGTCCAGTATTACTAATTGTTATGTCTGACTGGCTGAATAAGGCTAAAATGTAACACCCACAGTGTTGTTGTAAACTTCAGCTAACTGTCATCCATCTGTCCCTCAGAAACAGGATTTGTGTTGGTTGATCTGCTATAAAACTCCTACTGAGAGACAAATGCTTACAACCTACAACTGCCACCCCCCAGTCGGTTTAATGGCACCAAAAACTGACAGCAGTGCTGTCGACTTGGCACATCCTCCTCGACAACATTTGGAACGATGACTTCACCTCCTCAGTTTGTCGAGGAGTCACACCATACCATTTTTCTCTTTCACTCCCTCTGTCTCTCTCTTTCTCTGTCTGGTCTCTCTCACTCCCTCCTTCACTTTACATTATTTCCTGCAACAAACACAAATAGCAATGTCAGCTGTTGTTCTAAAACTAGTGTTCAAAGCTGGTAAATATCTGAAGATCAAACAAATAGTGAAAATAATGATTCATTCGCTCTCTATATTTATGAATATATCATATTTAAAACATTATACATTCAGTTCCTCTAGTCTTGACATTGACTTTTATCATTTTATTTTTACAATTTCTGACAGTATCATTTCATAAGACTTAAATGGTAAGACAGGGAGCAGATTAGGTCACAAGTTATGCAGAGGTTAATGCCTTTACTGGTGCAGGACGAGGCAATGCCATTCATGACCACATGGTGGCAGGATGGCCACAGCGCAAGGTCATAACTACATGACAGTAAGTGTGGAGGCTGTGATGTCATTCAGAGTACTTCAACACAGTGTTTTGTGATTCAGTTAAGAAACAATTAAGATAATGGCTGAAGAGATGGTAGTGGAGAATCAGGCTGCAAACCTAAGGACTTAAATAATGTTTGATGTTCTTACAGTTACTGTCCTCAGTCAACCTACAATATATTGATAAAATGAAAATCATATTCATGGTTTGACCACCCTGGTGCTCTTAGGAATTAATGCAAATTACATGACTTCATCTCGCTGGTTGAGGAACTGTTTGATGATGGACACATTAACAACTGTCTTTAAAGGATTTATTTGTATAGCGCCATTTCATAACAAAAGTTATCTCAGGACACTTTTTAGACAGAGTAGTGACGTATGTGTTATTTAAATATGCATGAACTGTATTTGCCCTTTTAAAGCATTGGACACGAAGATGGAATACTCTTCAACAACAGCTGTCATGCAGCCTGACGAATTGTCTAGAAGTTGAAATGAAAGCTTTTATTTCAGCTGTCTTTCACTATTTAGGAACATATATTGTCTCCCTAAACATCATTACAGGATTGAACCTGTAAATAAACAGGCTCTAAATGTCAATTTAAGGCCCTCTAACCTCCTCCCTCTGGCAAAATGATGTCAAAAATATTAAATAATATGCCTGCAATATTTTTGTTTGTAGTTCTTTCATATCAGTTTAAATTATACCTTCATATACAATTGAAATAAAAACACAGTTCAATATTTAAAGGTCAAAGGTGCCTGCAAATGTGTGCAAACAGTTCATAAGAAGAGAGCAGGTTTCATGCCTTCATTTGTTGTTTGGCTGTGAACAACAAAGATGAAATGTATAGAAACTGCATGATGTTAGTAATGGAAATATTTTCAGAATATTGTGCTTTCTCGTACTTCGCTGAAGTGGCTCTCCTATGAGATGACAATACCTGCAGTGGCCTCAAGCCAATTTTAGTTTGAGACCCCTGTCCTACAGAGAGTGTACTTCAAAAAATTCAAGCTCCAAACATTGCAAATATCCAAAGTCATTCTAGATGTTACCTGGATATATGATTTAAGGATTAAGTATTCGTTAAATGAGACTGTGGGAGCACACAGGGATGTTAATTTATCTGGTCGTCTGATGCAACATCTGTGAATCCACAAAATCGGAACATAATTTATCATTTTAAGGGCAGTGTCACATTTGACATGTTGAGAATATGTAATTTAAAATCTAGTTCTGCTGTCTGGCATTGAGTGTGTACAAGTGGGTTAATAACTGGACAGTCCTAGACAAAGGGAAGAATATTGATTCTTAAATTTGGTGAATTCTCATTTCAGTCTAGTCTTGGACCTCAGCACCAAATAAAACCCCCCAGATGTTCAATAAGATATCTTGGTTGAATTGAACTGTGTGGTTATACAACAGTACTTCTTCACTTGTAAACACATGCCCACTGTTTTACTACTGTTGTGTACTGTAGCCTGATATTGGCAATTTCCTCTGAGTTAATCAACATAGGAGTTAACATTAAGGGCAGCTGCCAGAGGAAGCACAAGCAGAAGCAGACTGACATCATCGAGATAATTGCACTGTCCAAGAAAATGCTCAAACACATAAGGCATGTTGAATTTATTTCCCCTGCACCTACAAGTGAAAAATGCAAACAGATACACAAAAATAACATTACAATACAAACACAGCATCCTGTATTCCCAAACAGACACTCAGAATTACAGACGCAGTGCAAAGTACAAGTTTTTCCAAAAGCAAAGCCTGAAAACATTTCCTCTAATCAATCTTGAACAATCTTGTTGTTTTATGAGGAAAGTTCTCCGTTTTCACCTAGGCCTGCATAACTTCCAACACTGCTACTGCATAACAACAGGCTGTTTTGCAGATGACATAGCCTAAAGATTATGCTTGACTTTGTGAGGTACACTGAGAGACAAACGTGCCAGATTTGATGGACAATTTTTTTTGTTTCTATGCCTTTTAGCAGAGCCTCCCGACAGCTGCAGAGACAATATTAATATAGAGAAGCAGAGGGAGAACGTACAGGGGGCGTCCGGTCAGACATGCACAACATGCAGCTGTTGTGTGCATGCAGGACAACTATGTTCACCATATCAGCAATACGGAAAACAAATTCTGATTATTCAAATGCTACATTTTTTTAACCTTCAAAAGACTTTTTTTTTTAAGAATAAAGTTAAACAGATTTCTTGCAATACAAGAGCCTGGGATGCAAAACTAGAATTCAACAAGAGAGACAAAAAAAAAAAAATCTATATTCACAGCATGACATTTTTAAAGTGTTTCTTCAGCAATCATATGATATGTGTGGAGTCACTATATACAAAAATAAGATAAATACAGTATCTGATGAAATAAATAGCATGGTAAATAACGATCATACTGTCACTCAAGCAAAGCTACATCTCAGAGAGTGCAAAAACTGTCCCAGCCTACATCCAAGAGTTACACACTGGGACCTGACTATGGACGTCAGAATCTGACAATTTATAAAAGCCAAAAAAATCAAACTGCACACAAACGCTGCAAAAGCTTTGGGTCAGTAGAGGTTCTAACGATGTTTAAACACTAGAGGGAGATATTTGCTGACGATTAGATGCTGCAATGACTTTACTCTGTTTACACTAACATGCTACTGTTTAGTCTACATAAAATATTTTCTGAAAAAAGTTGTATGAGTGAAACTACAGTCCAATTTTTATAGGAAATCTTAAGATTTATAAGCAGGATTTATATATGTTGTTGTACTGTATGTAAATTGGCAATTGTGGGGAAAATTACCTACACTAGTGGAAGGCACTGATAGAGTTTATAGTTTTTGTATCATTCATGTGGACATTTTTTTAAAAGAGCTCTTCATTCTCATGGGACGTCTTTAGGCACAGACTGACCAAAGACAAATACAGAATTAATTCATTAATTTGTTAAAAATAAGCCACTTCAGCAAAATATATCAAATTTTAGACACAAATTTTAAACTTTAGATAGATAGATAGATAGATACTTTAGTTATCCCGAGTGAAATTCAAGCGTTAATTTTAGTGTCTTTCTACATTATATTTGAAAGCTTAAAGGCATTTTGCCGTTCCCAGTCCATTGAGGATGCATAGTGGCTTAGAGAGTCACCCTGGTAAAGAGTGAAGCATGCTAAGCTGAGGGTCAGGGGTCAGGTAGAAGGCCATTTAGACAGTTACATCCCAAGCTGAAATCATGCAAGTTTTTGCAGTTGACCATCATGACAAAAAGCATTTTTGGGGCTCTTGCTCCAAGACATGGCACAGAAATGCACAGGCAACAGAACACAGACAACAGCACAGAGACACGAGCTCAGACATCTCTCTGTCACACTATCTGTATATGCTACATCTCTGTTATGTCCACTGTTTTTTATCCATTCACACTCCAAGCCTTTCCTGCAGTCTCAACCTGGTCTGAGGAAGTGTGATATCAGGTGCACCACACTCTCGACTGAGGAACAATGAGCACACACAGAGACATGTTATTTCCTCAGAAACCCTCAACACGATGCAACCAAAACCCTTTCCACTCGTTCTCTTTGAAGACAATCAGTCCAACATCTTAGAAATTACATCTCATGCGTCACCAGTCTCTTGTAAAACTCTCATGCTTCTTCTTCTCTCACTGCAGTCTTGATTTCTCATTTCCATGTCGCTCTCAAAACTTCCCGATTTCCTCTTGATTGATGAGATTACCTGGGCGTGTTGCCCTTGGGGAGGGGGGGATCCAGGTTCGGCAGGCTCCCACTGGCCACAAGCAGGTGTGAATCAGGCAGGAAGCCTGGGCTCGATCTTCAGTGAGAGATCATAGAGCGTGTCTTCATCCATGATCAGAGTCTTATCCAGAAGGTACTGGGTCACCTGGACAGAAAACACAAAGGTTTCAGACTAGCAACCTATATTTACAGCTACAGGCTTCATTTAGTCATTTTCAATTAAAGGGCGAGATGTTTAACTGTTTTTTAGCAACTAGATGACTAGATGGTCTGGAAAGGCTCAGTAGGGAATGAAATTGCTTTGCAATGAGCCAAATATAGTGCTTAACTCAAATTGATTTTAGATCTCGTCTTTATCTAAACTATTCTCCACGGTTCTCTGCTTGGTACAGCTAACAGCTGAGAGGGTAAAATTGATCCTCAGTGGATGTTTGAAAGATGAATATCTTGTACAAGAACCAGATGATTGGTGATTTAAGATGGCTTCTGCAGGGCCATGTTTTTATCTCTCAGAAACATATTACAGATATACATTTCCAAAAGTCTATACATATATCAAAGTGATTTTCAATAATCCGTTCACAACAGCAGACAGGACTAGCTCTTCCATGAAGGATCTGTACTGTTTAACCTTGTGTAACATTGTAATATTTTTTATAAACTCCCTTCTACAAACTATCTTCTAAGTTAATCTTTGATTATTTTATATATGTCTTTAATTTTAGCTTTAGTTGTAATGTTTTTGTTCCTCTGTTTATGTTTTGTAAAGCACTTGGTCACTATGTTTTTTTAAAAATGTTATATAAATCAATTTTATAAATATGAAAAACATAAAAAAATCTAACATATTAGAAAGAAAAGTACCTTGGCTTGATGCTCTATTCTGTATGGAGTCTGCTGGAACTGTCGGATCTCTCTGATGATGTGTGATATCTAAAGAAAACGTGGAATTTAAGTTGACAATTAAAGTATAGTGTACATATGCAGATGATTTCCATACCCCTTGTGCATTTCTTTTATGCATGTATGTACCTACCATCCTCATTTTGGAGAAATTAACAAGACCTTCCTCAGTAAAATTGGGCGTTCCCTCCTCAATAAAGGCCAGGTCTGTTAGATACATTCCTAGGTATGGCACACATGGAGGGTTGCAGCTGGAGGAAGAAAGTGTGAAGAGTGAATGAATAATGTGCGTGACAAAGTCCATAAAAGCACATTTTCATTTTCTTATTCGCATTATGTAAAAAAGATTCAATCATTTGAAAACATGTGTAAAGTCTCACTTTTTCAGGGTCTCTCTCAGATTTTTAAACCTTCCCTCAGAGGACACAGTCTTCTGCAGTTTGTCCATCAGGGCTTTAGCCTGGACAAGACCACAAACACACATTTAAAATCATTTTAAGTAATTATTATGAACAACACGGGAGAGACTAGACAGTTGCATGAAACCGAGATCCACTTACTCTTAATAAAAGATGATCGTAATAAAATGACAAAATCAAATACATGGCTTGGTGGAGAGACAGACTGTCTGGTGATTGGATGATTATGGCTTTAATCGATTTAGTGCTCATCAGAATAAAGCTAAGAGCTGATACTAAAAATTACAGGTAAATGCCTCTCTGAATCGTCTTTCTCTGAACTCTCTAATGACATCAATTCTACCAGGAGGATACCCATTTGTCGACATTACAGAGACAAAAGAACTTTATATACACTTGTTTTAAAGTGCAATACTCAGGTTTTATATACAGAGAGGATTGATTATTATTAATGATTCATTATTCCACCTGTTTGCTAACTTTAGCCCAGGTCTTCTTCAAGCGGTAGATGGCACTGCGATTGAGTGCAGATGTGATCTCCAGTACTCCGTTGTAGTTGTTGAGACAGCGGCAGATGTCAGCCACAGCAACCCACTTCTCTATGGAGTTGGCCCTCGAGCCCACATCAGTATGGGTCATAATTTGCGATGCCACCAGGTTACTCATCTTCAAAAGGAAAAAGAAAAAAGAATGTAAAAACAACATGCTGCTGGATATTTACACAGGTGTCAGGGGAAAACGTTTCTTAAAGACATTGAAAGAGCTTACGTCATTAAAGTGTTGACTCGTTTTCATGATGTATGGCGTCCTTTCTGTCTTATCAACCTTCATCCAGCCCTGGCCCAGGAACTCTCTTACAGAAGGAGGACAGACACATGTCAGATCACACATACTAAAATATAGCATTGTTTGGGAAAATACAAAAGAGCTTTGCCATAGTTTTCATTATTTAACAGCTAGCTGTGTTTCAAGTGGTTTTAAATTTCACAAACCAAGGAATTTTTATTTTTATATTAGACTTTTGAGAGTAAAAACACAACACTTTTGACCTGTAGTACTCTGCTGTATGATATGTAATGGCATGTGTCATTATAGAGAAGGAATACAAACGTATTTACACCTAAATTGTCATATAGTGTTGAATTACTCTTTATGTGGCACCCACCGTACCTAAAGAAACTGGAGTACGGTGGTGCTACTGAGTGGGGAAATGATTCCCAAAATTCCTTATTAAAGAATGAAATGATGAAATTCATGGTGCAAAGAATCGAAAATGTAATTGTAGCTGTTACAGATGTTTCAAAAAGCTGATCTGAGGGAGAAACCTTCATCATAGCAGAAGTTTACCACATAGTGATGCCACTATCGTATTTAATAGGAAGTGAAACTAGTGTTTTCAAATAAAACAAATTGGAGTTGGAGTTTTCCTCATTGTCCATCTAAAAGCATACTTTCATATGGAGCTGCCAAGAGAATCTGCATTGATTAACTGGTCTCATAATAATGAGTATCCATTAAGTTGATTTAGTTTTATTTGGCCTGATGCAGATCACAGTGTGAGAGTATTATGAGAGGACCGACTCATAAGGAATGCTCCTGAAGACGATGTGATCCAGCAGAGTGATCTGCTCAGCCAGCTCCATCGCTGAGAGAGACTCGAAACACTCTGCCTTCGGACAGTCCGCCTAAACACACACATAGGTCACACACATACAGAGACATAGTAGTCATAAACAGACAAATACTCACGCCGTAACACAAACACAAATAACGTATCTAATAAAAAGACTGGCTGTGATGAATATGTTTCATGACAGTTGGCAGTCCCCTGGAGACCATCACAGTCAGGAGAGGGTCTATTTACCCCATCTGACTGGAGGATAGAACAGTTTGTTCTGACCGAGGTTTTTCACATCTTACTAAAGCAACGTATGTTTGTAATTCCCAGTCATTATCAGGCCAAGACAATTAACTAGGAGCACTCGTGACTCCTAATTGCTTTCATCTCTGGCTAGTGGTAAAGTAGGGTAAGAAGGAAAATTAATAAGTATTTGCGGGAAGTGTGTATTAATATGTTAGTACTTAAGGGGGACTAGCTTCATAAAAACCAGGTCATCCCATAGAGAACCAAATAAATATACAAATTCAAATTAAAAACTGCATTGCTCAGCCAGTCTGGAATAACAAGAGGTGTATGTTATGCAGCAAAAAGACGAGTTTCTCTTCTCTGCAGTTTACTGCTGCTTAATTCATCCAACAGAATAATAACTAGTTTATCATAAAATCATAACAAGACATTTGAAATGACTCACTGGAAAAAAAAGTTATCAGAGGATTTTATGTGCTGCAGTTTTCTCACCATCTGTAAGATGTCCTCTATCCTCAGCTGTGCATCGTCCTGCTCATCTTGAGAAAGGGCACTAAGAGACAGCATAGAATAAAATTATCAGAATTTGACTATTTAAATTATATTCAGGCGCTTCATACACATACTCCATGTTTGTGTGTGTGCACATTTGTGTGTACATTTGTGTGTGTGCACTACCTTAGTATGTTGGCAGTAGCTTTTCTCTCCTGAGGCAGAAGGTCTGGATCTCTGAGCACCTCCTCCAGGAGACAGATCACTGACATCTTCAGCTCCCCATTCATCTCAAAGTCCTAAACACAAATACAAATTAACTTCTATACTCGAAAACTTCTATACCCTAACATTAACCTAAACCTAATTCTGACCTAAACTTTAAAAACAGACTTTAACCAAAGTATCTTCACTTTCCTTACTCTCAAAGTCTAAAACAAATTGGTCCTCACAGAGGTAGAAGTTAGGAATATTTTAGACAGTTATATATGATATTTGTTGTGATATTTAGTAATGTACGATGACATTTATTTGTGAAGGTAACTTATTTGTTTAGTGATATATTTGACATAATTTAATTGATGGTGATATGTATTTAGTTTAAACTCAATGTTTAAACGGTTACCAAATTGATAGTGTCATTATATATATATATATCGTCATATCGCTCAACTCTAATAGAAGTAAAACGCAAACAAAGACCATACTATTACTTGCAGTGTGAAAATACATTCTCTATTCCTTTCTCTCTACTGATGACTTTCTCTATCCTATACACACTCATCCCCCACCTCACCAAACATCAATAACATGTCTTCCATTCCTCTCCCTGAACCCCCTTATTCCTCCCAATCTTTACACCTTCTTTTCCTCCTCTTTTTCCCTCTCACTCCCACCCCCAATTTAATTCTTGCTCAAAGGTCAGTTTTAACAAGCTCCTTGTTCTTTGGCCTCCCAAAGAAAAATGTGAGTGGGTGTACATGTGTGTGTTTGTGCTTGCCTCAGTGTTAATAAGCCGACTAAAGCTGGCTTGTCATCACAGCATTTTGTGTTATTGAAGAAAAATACATAAAACAGATCAATGCAGTTAGACCTCTAAGCAGGGAGCCAGGCAATTACTGCGATATTCAATTCATTAGAGGCAACACTGGAGTAGGTAGGTGGACTGAAGCGGGTTGAGCTGGTCGTCCAATTGACACGGCAACAATATTCAGTGTGTGCTTGTGTGCGTGTGGCTGTTTACATGCTCAAGTAAGAGCAGTAGAGCAGAAGAGAGAACGCATCAGACACCTGCTTTAATGAGACCACAGACTTGACCACCCTAGAAGAAACAGGGGACCCCTCACACACACACACACACACACACACACACAACACACACACACACACACACACACACACACACACAGCGGTGAGGGCAGACAGACCTGTGAGTGTTTGGAGACCCAGTGCCGCAGCACGTTGAGAACTCTGTTAGTTGCAGCTCGGCGGATGATGAAATCTTTATCACAAGTTCTTTCTGAGTTAGTAAAGACTGGAGGAAATTTTTAAACAGGAAAGGAAGGAAAAAGAAGAACAAAGAGAATATGTTATTATTGTGTGTTGATATAAAACTTTCAGTGATGACCTGTGGTTTGACTGTATTTACCAACAAAAACAAGGTCAGTCAGTGGTTGAAAAGAATTTAAATGATGTGCTTAATTAAAAGCAACAATGGGAAAATGCTTAAATGCTTCATTAAAACATTTACATTTACAGAAGTAAAAGTATTTGCAGGAAAATATAAAGGGTAAAATATCCACATATTTGAACTAGTTCTTCCACAAAAAGTAATGTCAATAAGAACTGTTCACAGGGTGGTGCATGGATTATCCAGCGTAAGAAGAAGGAAACTGTATCTGTAAGGATCTGACAGTTACTACAATTTTTACTGCTTTGACCACCAAATTCAGTTCATCTCTGTTGTATTGGGTTAGCGGCAGAAATCTTGGGGACCTCACATTTGGCCGAATAAAAACGAAACTATCTGCTTGGATTGATACAACTGAGGATGACTGAGAACATTAATTTTGTAATTTTTAGAATCAACCTTTTAACATTTTCATATTTTAACAGTTTTTAATTGATCCAGTTGTGGTTATTTCTATCTAGTTAACTACATAATGTACTACATAGTAACAAAATAGGTTTCATGAACTGGACATCCATCTTCACTGTATCTAATAACAACTGCTAACAGATGAAGTAACTAAGTAAGAAAATATCCTTTTGATGTTTTGTACCTTTTTAGGTTTATGGCAGCAGATAACAATATACTGCTACTATTGCAAAATTAAACAAGGAACAAAACCTCCCACTTTGATCAATTTTGTAATGTGATAGTATATTATGACTTTAGACTCCACTTTCCAGAATCTGCTATATTTTATTTAGCTTTCACATTTTATTAGACTATTCACATTCACTATAAACAATACGGCTGTAATTTACAGTATGTTTAATCATTGTGTGTGTGTGTGTGTGTGTGTGTGTGTGTGTACCTGGTGGTGAACCATGTCCTGCTGCTGCTGTGGCAATTGCAAAGGCTGAAGCGGGAGAGACAGAGCAGCGTGAGTTCTCCCCTGACTGGACTGCAAACACACAAACACATAATTATCATCAATGACAACAATACCGCTATAATTTTCATCATTGAGGGGTGGGACCACAAGTGAATAAAAATTAACTTTTATTTTATCCAAACATGATTGCAGTGGTCACAAATTCAAATGACTTTCTTTAATATTGCTTTTTATTTATTTGTTTTATTATTCAATTTCAAATTGCCTGTTATATTGATTAAAATACCCTTTTCATAGCAACCATTTTATGATTTTTGTGTCAACCTAATTAATAACTAAATAGTTCATAATTTCCTCAGTAACCTTTTGATTTAAATATTCACACAAGTATGTATGTATATGTGAAAACATTTAAAGTTTGCCTTACTATTCATAATTCACAAAGAGAATATTGGAAACATAATCTGTGTTAGTAAACATAGCAATTTAGATGAAAGAGCATTTTGTTTGTACACAATGACCACATTTATTTACTTATTACATCAGAAATTAACATATGAAAAAGACAAATATATATATTTTACTAGTATTTCTGAGTGTTTTGAGTATACTTTGTAGAGATTATAGATCTGAAAATGTATCTAGTCATAATTTATTATCTTTATCATCATTTATGATATGCCCGTCATCAATATTGTCATTCTGGTTACAGGCACATTGCAGACCATAAATATACTCCTCATTGTTAGCAATATCTCCAACAGCATACATGAATCCTCAGTGTGATCATATCAGTCATCACCTTTAACATCACCATTAAAATCATCACCATCATCTTCATCATCATCCAAATGCTTGTTGGCTCTGTAGCTGTCTTACATACTGTACAGGATACACTCCCTTTAATGTCATCCAGGCAGGTTATCTAACTACCACCCAAAGAAAACTAACCCAAGACACTTACAGTCTCCCATACACACTCAAACACTCACACAGGGCCATTTATGCATTAGTCTGTCTGTATTTAAGCTTTGTATTGTGCTGCTGTATTAAAGATGTCAGCCTCCAGGGTCAGGGATCTTTGCCTGGCCTGAAGTGTGGTCAGTCAGTGGGCATCGCGCTGCCCACTTTGAGGGCCTCTGGATATGGCATTGTGGCCGAGTTATGAGTCATAAACCGCAGAGTCACACACACACGTTGTTACCTCCAGGCTGTCTGTAGCGGAGGTGTCGAGGTGTGGAAGGGGAGCGACACGGAGACATGTCTCCTGCTTCACTGCTCTGAGGAGACTCTGGGATGATTTTCTCCAGTGACACTGACTCCAGCACAGCTAGAAAGGAGGAGAGATGATGATGATGGTTATGGTTATGGTGGTGGCCATTACTGTTGCTGCTCTACTGGAGAGAATTTTATTATACTTAAGTTCACAGTCATGCAGATATCGATCAATATAACCAGTGGATAACATCAAGAACATCAATTTGTTCCCTGCACATTTTTGTGCCTGTGAGCAAGTAAATGTTTAAGTAAATGTTCATTTACATGTTACTGCATTCATATAGGTGAACATGCATGTGTTTGATATTTGATTTACAAATGTGTAATTCGAATACCTTTGATTTCTTTGAATGGCAACTTTTATCTAACCTTTTGGAAGTGAACTCCAACACAAACAGACAGACAATGACAATGACAATGACAATGAAAGGACCAATAATTCAAGTCTGTCCTGACATGTTAGCAGGTATTACAGCTGAACCTGAATTTCCCTTCTGCAATGGACAAAGTGACAAAATAAAACAAAAACCAACATAAAGTGTATTAGTTTGTCTAGAGTGCCCAAGTCTCTGGAACTTTACTGGAAGGGTGAACACTATTTTCAAAAGTTATTCCTTCACTTGGCATTTTGATGATGGTTGTGGAGAGCACAGTCCACCACATCAGTCTAAAATCACCCATATGTGTACGACTGTGTTGAGATCTGGTGATTGTGAAGGCCATTTTCACACTCATCAAACCCTTCAGTGACCCCTTGTTCCCTACATTGAAGCATCTGTGTTCATTACATCTCTAAAGATTTATTCAAGTCTAGAATTTGTCGCCTGTCTGTATTTGTATCACAGTACACAGTATACAATACCAGGTTACCTGGAGCACTACTGTAGATGTCGTTGCTACTACTATACACGTTTTTGGTTTGAAAGTAAGTTGTGTCATTCAAACAAATTTCATTTGAATACAACTTGAAAGACACAAAGGTTTTACCTGATTACTCTTTAACATACACTCAGAATGTCACACTGACAATTTGTCAGAAGACAGTAAAAGCGCAAGATTAAGGCAAATAGGAAGATATGTAAATGTTTGAATACATATTAACACATAAATACACTCTCTGATTAAGGGCGAAAGAAACTGAGAGACCATATGCAGAGGAGGTGAGAGTGGCTCAATGCTACGAGTGCTAATGGTTCTTTGTCTCCTAGTGAGCGGTTAGCAGCTGTCACACATGCACATGCTCATGCACACGCTCATGCACACACACACACACACACACACACACACACACACATACACACACACATACACACACACACACACACACACACACACATGCACACACACTGTATGTGTGTGCACATGCTAATGAGGGTCTAACTGTGGCTTGTCCTTGCTGTGCAGCTTCATGCCCTGATGCTATCTCTCTCCAGTCTGAGAGGGTTGTTTAACACCACTATTAGAAGATCTAAGGATGTGTGGTGGGAAGTCAGCGTAGCTGACTCAAGCACACAAATACAAGGAGATAATGATGTCCCACCAGGCGCTGTTCTGCTCTTACAGGGAACACTTCATACTGTGTCATTTGATGAGTGACCTCCAGCTCTTCATAAGCATTTCAGTACACCAATAAGGCTCTGTATGTTGATGTTCAGTCATAGAGAACAATATAGTTCAGATATTGACAACAAACTGCACACGTTATCTAAGGTGCATGTAGCAATAAGCTAAGTCCAGTGTAAAAGTATGAGAATTTACATTATATGCCAATGCTTTTCAATTCTCCAAATAGCTGTTACAGCCCACCAAAATAATTACATCATTCTTTTAATGTGTTTAGCTGTGAAGCTCAGGTATTGCATCAGCACTAATATAGATACATTTGAATACATTTGTATTTGTTTGGAAAGTATTAAATACCTCTACGGATGCTCCGTCTCAGTTTGCCACAAAATGGATCAATCTTCGGCACCTCCTCCCCCTCTGCAGTTGAGCAGGGACTCTGGTCCGGGGACGAGGGAATAGGAGGAACTTGGTCCTGCAGTGGTTTGGAGTTGTTGGGTGGGGGAGAGGTGGAAGAGGGAGGAGGAGGAGGAGAGGAGGTGGTAGGAGTCGGGGTCTGAGGCGTTGGGGTTTGGGGGGTGTGGGCAGATGTGGGGCTACTGGCAGCAGACTGGGAAGTGTTATGGTTGATGCCAGAGTTTGACAGAGGACTGGTTAGGTCGAGGCCTCCGACCCTGGCAGTGATGGGAGAATGGAGGGAGAGCTTTCGTGTTCGAACAGGGGAGGAGGTGCGGGACGGGATGGAAAGAGGAGGTGGAGAGGAGAACTTGCGGCAGAGACGAGGAGATTTGTCGTTGTGTTCTCCACCTCTGTTATTCTGATTGGTGGCAAAGAACAGCTCCAATGATCTGAAAGGGGGGGAAAGCAATATGTTAACAAAATAAGAGGATATTTAAAAAGCAATAAAGAGAGTGCAGGTATGAAAAGAAAACGAGCAACTGCAGCAGCTCAAAACAAGAGCTTGTTTGTCTGCATGCCTTCAAGTGTAAAAGGTTCAGTAGCAAATTAATTTTGGCAGATAGTTTTCCTGTATTAGAGAAATATTTCTGGTTTAGAGACTAAATAAAATGTCATACTGTGTATTCAATAACAAAAGAAGAGTAGAAAGTGAATATCGGACTTACATTCATCAAGAGAACAGCACCTTCACATGAATGCTAATGTTGCTCAGTGTCTACTGGATGTGTAAAAAGGAACTATTTGCTAGCATTGTAGCCACATTAACATAATAAGGAAAATTAGTTCTACAAATTCCTTAGTAATCTTGTCTGTTGTTTAGGATCATTGTTCTTCTGCACTATCCTAAAATGGTGGGTCTATGTAGAAAAAGGTTCATACTAACCTTAAACTTTTCAGCAAATGTGTATGTGAACACCCTCAAAAACCATTAAAGACTATGTTTTTAGTGGCTGATTATGTGCCTAAAACAAAACATTTTACTTCATCGAGCACTCAAAATGCTATTGTGTGTGCATGAGATACAATTAATTCCCACATTTTATTATTTTGTTAACATAGGTTTTATTATGGCGAAGGATGGTCTGCTGTGCTGGCTCTCTATATATACACTCGTCCTATGGCCATTAATGAATCAAAACGTGGAAACAAACTGTATCTTATGCGCATGCAGTAGCATTTTGAACACTTGGTATAGCAAAACATGGCCTCAATATATATTTTTTTCCCTCAATGGCCACACTGGGGTTCCACAGAATAGAAAATTAATCAGTCTTTTATTGCAGTTTACATTTGCAACATTTAATCGCCTTATTTACTGGGCAATGAAAGTGCAAAAGATTTAATGAACAAGCATTTTGGTTATCAATTTTGTGATGACATTAACACTGCTCAGAGTCATGTGTACAGAGCTACATCAAGGGAGGAGTAATCATGCATAGATAAACACAGCCATCATTTATTCACACAAGCCTGTTATTCAGCAGGAAATAGAAGAACAAATTGCTTCCCAGATTGAAAGAGGAGGGGGAGAAATGAAAGGGAGATAGAGGAAGGAAAGATACATGAAAAGCAAAGAGGAGGAATGTTGAACTTTGAAGCAAGCAGCTGAAAAGTGAAAGCAAGCAGCGGAAGACTCTTAAGAAGAGGACATGACAAAAGGGGATCAATGTGGATACAGAGAGAAAAAAACAGCCTTGAGGAAGTGATGCTCCAGTGAGAGAACATGCAACAGACCAGCTGCAGAGTGAAGACTCAAAAATATTTCCCTTCTCCCATTCCTGTCTATGTATCATCAGCCTAAAATATTGGTGATATTACAACCCCTGTGAGTTGTCAATTCATATAACAGATAGATAGCAGTTAACAAGTCAAAGTTAAGGGGAAAGTCATGCATCAGTGAAGGATCAGACCAAGACCAGAGGAAGAACTGGCAGGAAAAGTTGGAAAGAGACAGTAAATAGGAGGGCAGAGAGAGAAGAGTTGGTTACTTGGACTGATCCATGGCTATCTTCTTGATCTTCAGACTGTAGTCAGGACAGATGGATGAGATGGACAGACGGTCAAATGAGTGGTACTGCGCCCTGTAGTTGGAAGGGACATGAAGAGACAAGGGGACGGATGACACAGAACAATGTTTAAAGAGTGATGGTTGGATTATGACAAGAAAATGTAAATAGGAGATGTGACAGTGTTAGAAGATGGTTTGAGGGAACCTGATAGAAGGATGATAAATGAATAGAGGAAAGGTGTGTTTGAGGAGGAGGGAAGGCAGTGTGTGAGTGAGAGAACAGCAGCATGTTCAGTCTCTAAGATACTGACACATGACCACATGGGGAAGAATACAGTACAAAATGGAGACCTTTGCAGGGGCACCTCTTCGATCCTAGAAACCAAGAGGTTCAATATAATAATTTATAAAGTGTGGAAATTTCAGTCCTCCAAGCTTCGTCAACAAATCCTCATTTAAAGACATGGTAAAATGAATAACTGCAAGATAAAATATGATAGATAAAATAGAAGAAATTATAAAAACAGCTATGAAAGATAAATACACAAAACAAGAATGCAGCTAACATGTTGATTAGCAGGGTTAGCAATGTTTACCACCTTATTTTGGCATATTAGCATGGTAACATTTGCGAATTATCACTAAATGCTAAGGTTAAGTAGGCTACAGCTGAGACTGATAGGAATGTCATTAATTCTGCAGGTATATGGTCATAAACCAAAAGTTATGATAATAGCAGTAGATGCAAAGTTTACGGATCACCAAAGTCATTAAGATGCATCATCTGGGAACCTTGAATGTTTGAAAGGTTTGTGCTAATCAATCCAATAGTTGTAGAGATAATAGACCAACTAACACTGCCATCCTTAAAGCCATGGTGCTAGCATGACTAAAAAGCACCAAAATAATAAAGAAACCACCGAAAAACAATAAATCGTGTTCTCTTTTGTGTTGGCTATCTGGTGGGTGAAGGACAGAAAAAAAGTGGAAAGGTTTAACTAGAAGAAAGACACTTGGGCTGCCTATGTACCTACGTGGAGCAACATTCAGGGCAAGAAATAAGCATATCCTGTTTAGTTAAACATTTGAGATGGGGAACTTGCCCTACACACCCACAGTACCCTTTCTGCACACCTCTGGTCTCTGGATGAGTCCGCCCTGTTCTCTTCCAGTAAAGGCAGCCAAAGGCCTTTACATACAAACCTGCCCTTGGGCAGAGGAAAAGACAGAGCTTTTCCAGTTGAAAAGTTAAGTTAAGTAAAGCCGTGGAAAGAATATAAACATACAAATCTGATGCAGCCAGAGACCTAATAAGTGAGAGAGAGCATGAATAAAGCAGAGAGAGAGAGAGAGAGAGAGAGAGAGAGAGAGAGAGAGAGAGAGAGAAACTCCCCATCTGACACACAGTATATTCCTATAGCTGTGCCAGAAACCTTGTCAAAGCATCTGTTCTACTGGCCTCCTGGTATGTACTTCAGCCAGTATGTATTCAACCTTGTGGACGGAGTGGGAGCTCCATGCCGAGTCCAAAACACTGACCCACATCTGACTACATCATTCACAGAATTAAAAAACAAGGGGGGAGCTAATAAAACAATCTCATGTACACTCATGGTAGGATTTACGAGGTGTCTTAACCTCGGTGGGGGTGAGTTTTGTCTGCATCTACACCTTTTCTGTGTTTGTGAATGCTTATTTGTGTGTTTGCACTGTATGACCTGATCGGAATGGAGGAGAAGGGCTTCTTGTAGATGTCGGCCAGTTTGTCCATGACCACCGTTGCCGTGGTGAAAATCCTGTAAGTGTGCAGGAAGGTGTTGAGGAAGTCAATGGAGAGGAAGCGCAGGTCGGTCAGCCTCTCAAGCAGCCGCTCCACGCTGGCATAGCGGATCTGGGGGACCTTGCAGGAGTTGAGCGTCTTGCTGAAGCAAATGTCAACATCATCTTTATGGAGACGCACATCGGATCTGATGGATACACACGTACGTACATACACACACATAACCGAGCATGGGTGACTGCTGGGCTGCTAAGCAAGGAGAAGGTTACAACAGTAGCTGAGCAAAAACAGCCAAGTAAAAAATGTATATAATCCAAAAAAGGAAAAATAAGAGTGGATACCAAAAAATATTTTTTAACAGATTTCAGCAACAACATAAAAAAATATTGAAAAAAAGCATATACATAACATACAGCCTAACAATTTACTGTACATCAACACAACTGTAACATATTCATCAGGTATGCTACATTACAAACTTAAGTTTTGAAACACTGGCACGAAGAGATGGGTATTGCTCTTCACAAACACAGACATACTTACTTGATCATATGAGGCACAGTGACTTTAGAGTTCTCCTCAAATACACTGGTCATCAAGCCATTACAGCGGATATTATCTATACACTACAGAGAAGGAGAGAAAAGGAAGATAAATAATGACGGAATAACATGAAATAATGACAGTAAAAGACGGAAAAAGTAAATGTCTGCAAATTATCTTCAAGTTTGTTTGAATTACTACAGAATTTAAAGCAAATGATTGGTCTGCAAACTCCTAAAACATGTCAGGGAGAAAAATACTTTAATTAACTAACTTTAATTTGTAATAATCTTTTTAGCACACATTTGTTAATCTGTGTGCTCCCATAATGCTGAGAATTGTTTTGAACATAATAATATATAATAATAATAATTTCAAAAGTCTGGTTAATGAGGAATTGAGGAAAAAGAAGGAATTTATAACTGTCAATGTATTTTTGTCACATAAGAATTAATCCAGTCTGACATGCTTGTATGGCGCTACTGTGTTTGTGAAGTACTGAGGCAGTGAGCTGAACTCACCTCTGGGGAACTGCACCCGTGTCTGTGTTTACTTATCACTAAGCCTTCTCAATACCCGGTGGACACTTGCTCTCGCTATTTGGAGGTTCTTGTTATTCTGTGTTTGTCTGGGTGTGTGTTTGTGTATTACCTGGCTAATATCACTGGTCCATGCTGCCTTCTCCTGCCGCGATGGCGCCAGTAACACCACAGTGAATGACGGTAAGTCTGACGGCTCTACTATGAGCTTAAAGTCCAGCTGACCAAATACCTGGCCGCCAGCTTTAGCTGTGTGATAGATGAGAAAGAAAGAGGTTTTTTTTACAGTACAGCAGTCCTCTTAATGATGACAATAGTAAAAAAATAATAATAATACACACACACACATAGAGGGTTAATTAAGCTGACCTGCTATATCCATTCTACGTACCCCTGAGGCTTCAGTGTAAAGGTGTGTGTTGAAGTGATGTGTGCACATGCATGTGATTGTCCCAGCACTTGTGTTTGTGTGGCTGTAGTGTGAGTGTTTCAACTCCCTATTTGCAAAATGAATCCTCAAAAGATCAAAACCTGACATTTAAAGGGGTTAACATCTGATATTTAAAGGGAAGTAATTTCTGTACACTTATCATCTGACACCTAATTAACCTCTATGAGTGATGAAGAGCCTACATGAGCAAATAAGATCTGCATGTGTGTCGGCCAACGTGGAAACACTGCTGCGTTGATGCAGTAAACTTACACTCCTCATCACTGGCATCTGGCTCCTCTATGAGTGTGCAGTCAATTAGGGACAAAACTCCACCTTGCTGCAAAAGTTTTAAAGAAAATAATGACAACGGTTTATTGGCATTTTGGTTAAAGAAATCCCAAATTAATTTCCTCTCTAGGATCTACTTAAACTACTGAGGTTAAGGTGTTCTCACCTTGAGAAGGTGCAGTTTTCCCCCGGAGCTGCGTGTGCAGACAAGGAAGTGTTTGGTGAAGAGGAAGCACTGTCTTTCCCCTTCCTTCTTTAGAGAGAGAGAGCCCAGACGGACCTTACTTAGCTTCCCTCGCTCCACTGATGGCAGCTGGATCAGAGAGCCTGAGGAGCAGGACAGCACAGGATTACATTACATTTCATTAAGCTGACACTAAGCTGAGTGCGTAAAACACAACATTTCTGCTCACATGTACTTTGTGCATGCACCTGGCAGACATAAATGAGAACTGAAGAAGTCAAGGAGATCATCATCAAAATGGGCAGATTTAGTGGCAAAAAACTATCTCTGCTAGAAGAAATAAAAACCTTGGTTACGCTGTCAAAACTGTATCAGCACTTCCTCTCCTGACCTCTGATTCAAATGCAGGAGGAACATCACAATCTGCTCTCCTGTGCAGTTGTAAAGCAGCATGTTTCACTTAGCAGGCATGCACAAACAATGGAAAATTGCCTTTGACGTGATCTGTGTGTAAATACCCTAACCCATAAACAATATAAAGATTTTGCAGGCCACTTGTTGCTTGAAGCAGTTCCTGATAAATACAGTGCACTTTATGTGGTACATTTGAGATTAACTTGATCAAGAATTACTTTGTTTTGTTAGATTAGGCAGATTGTTGGCTCTGGCTCCACGTTAAGACCTTGGCATACACCAGTGATCACAGACAATCCATTTATCTCCACTGTAGGAGAATGAGAACTTCTAGTAGCTTTAAATCTATAATTTTACATCACATTCATTTGGCATGCACTTTTTCCCAAAGCAAACTACAATAAGCAGAACATAGGAACAGAAGCTGGAGGTCATCAAAACTTGGAAGCGCATCAAACAAACAACTGACAGCTTGTTCAGTGGTACAGTACAAGTGCTTAGAGGTTTTCCATTTGGTAAAGAGAAACTGGTTTAATCAGTTTTGTGCAGTAAACCTATTAAAATGCACATGAAATGTGATTAAATAAAATAAGTACAACATTCTGTTCTGAACTGTTTGGGAATAATTTCTCAATTGTTTTTTTTTCCTTTAAAATTATTATTACTATTCCTCAGAATAATATATTTGAGATTCATGGAGAACCAACCAATTTGCAGAACATTTTCACTGGGCAAGGGGAGAGAGAGCCACATCTCCCCCAGTAGAAAGTATTACAGTAGCTAATGTCATGATTCAGTGACTGAGCTCCACTGAAGTTCTGTGTCTGTACTATCAGATCACAGGTTGACAGGCAGTGAGACCCTCCTTACTGTCAGGAAAACCTCCAGAGCTTTGCTGTCCGGTGAGCAGCACTGTGAGCTGACAAAGACTTACCCTGCCTAACGAAGGTCTGGCTTGTGTCCAGTAGGATGTCACAGCCCTCCACTATCATCCTCTCTATGGCCAGGTTTTTCCGGATGTTCTCCGTGTCACTGACCTCATCATGCATTACTCTGGGCACACACAAATACATCAGTAAGTTCAGTATTCAATATCAAGATGCATCAGGAAATCCTTCAGACAACCACACACATACCTGGAGAGTTCCTCTAATTTGGACTTGGCAAATTCAAGACTCTTGCGCTCCACATGTTCATGAGGTGTGTGTGCTAATAACTCATGCAGGGTGATGATGTAGCGAGGAATCTTGTAGGAGAAAAAAACAATGTGAGAAAAGGCTGTTAAAATATATGAAATAATTTTAAAAAAAAATACAGTTTATACAACAATAAATGGAAGCAGGAATTGATTTGGTATGTTTGAAAAGGAACAGTGTTGGGCAGTAACTCATTACTAGTAATAATATTACAGTGATAATACTACTTTCCCCAGTAACTAGTAGTGTTACTCATTACTAATAAAGTGTGTAATAATATTAATTTTAAAAGAGTAATGAGTAACTAGCCCAACACTGAAAAGGGGGGTTTGCCGGTGCCTGCAATCTACCTGGAACATTGGGTATGTGAGGAAGGTCTCGAGCATCCTTCCCTCACAGGCTGCATTAGACTCGTACTGTTTCAGGAGCTTGTCAAAGTCTCTGTTCTGCTTACAGTTGGCCAAAACCTGCAGGCTGTACTGATGGTTACGCACAAACTCCTGATAGATGTTCAGCATGGGCAGCAGGATGTCAAATAGGTCAGCTAGAAACAAAAACAAAAATAACACACCACATATATGAATATGCAGTATGTCAGTCACTTAAGGGGACAACATAGTGTTGCTATAGCAACCACTACAGGCACAATTCCATAGGAGTTTAACGGACATTGTTTGAGCCATGTCAACCATGAGCCTTTTGTCATCTGTGACTAAGAAAATACTGTCAGACATCTTTCATCCACTCCCCAAATGCCCTTGTTGGATCAGTATCTGAGATCCATTTACTGCTAACCAAACTAGCTGTCAGAGGCCAATGTGTTTGCCATGTGTATGTTTACTAGACTAGGTGTCACCAGAGTTTCCCAGGAGGGGTTTGCGAGGCCTTCTTGATTTTAAAGGGTGTAAGACAACTTATTATACTTATATATATATATATATACACATATATATATACGTGTATATATACAATTATAAATATATATACATATCAGCATTTATTTCTAATCTTAAAATTTAGATTATTTTTTAAGATATAAAATCTCACCAGGTAAGGGCACGGTGAAGACCTAAACACAAACTATATTCACAGAGCCTTCAATGTCTACCAAACAGCTTTGTCAGTTAAAACAACCAAAGACCTAATACAACAATGATCAAGCATCAGGGAGAAGAAAAAGACTGAATTTGTCAAAAACAAAAGCCTATTTACTATGTATGATTGTTAAAAAAATAAAATAAAAAACTAATACAGAGAATTGTATTAAGTGTTCCTAAAAATATCAGGAAAACTAATCTCTGATGCAACATTGACAGAAAATAATCTGCTCAAAATTCATTCAAATCTCTCTGTTTATACAAACAGTTATTGCATTCACTATCCTTAAGGAAAAGGGTTGGGAACCACTGACTGTGCTAGATTAACTACTGTCGAGTGCTTCCTATTAGGACTTAATGTTAATCCTGGTGATACTGTCTTCCTTGCATAAGAAACAGGGTAACCAATCTGGCAGCTAGTATTAGTCTAGTCTTCATTTTTATAATAACTTTTGTTTAATTTTTGGTGTCACATTATTTTTCATTGTCCAAAACTGTTTTCCCAGTTTGACAATTGCTTTCAATAAAAACTTTGAAGGCCAACTGTTGTCTTCGACCTCTATTGGAAGTGTGTTGAGCTCGCTGTATCGCTGTGCAGCTATACTCAGTGAGAGCCTGAAGACCAAGGTAAAACATTAATGGCACAAATAAAGGATATACAACTTTATTATTATTCGAAGCTGATGTAAGCTGTGAAACTGACTCCTTAAAACCAAAGCCAGTAAACATTGCTTTAATAATCATATAAGTGACTACAACCCAGTTTCTTTATTGATCACATTCTGCCTCTTCATGCCTCTTTCTTGGACGACAAACATCTGGTTTAAGATAGAAGCATCACCATGGTGTTAGATACATGACAAAGTCTACTCAAATAATCAGTATAACCTAATTTTAATATTCATGTTACATTCTGAAATAGCATTAAATGAAGTAGATGTTAGTTTATAATTCACTGCAGAGAACCAAATGACTAGACAATCAGGCTATTCAATGGCAGTGCCCTCAAAAAGATAAAATCAAAACCATGCAAGAAAAAGCAAAAACAGATTTAAAGAGCCTAAATTACAGAGTCAAAGATGGATGCTTCTATGCATCTGAATATAGTCTATGTGGGGTTAAAAGCATGTTAAATTGGATGCTAAATATTCATTGACAAGATCAAAAAGGAAACAATCTGTACTGAAAATACAAAATCTACATCAGCCGTCAGCCTGAAGTAAAGAGTCAGATAACGGTGACATTTGGCCCTTTTCTTTTTGAATTTGTCAAAAGCAATTTGCTGTCGTGTCTTTCAGCCGTCTGTCTCCTAGGTGATGCTTATCTGTCGAGGGGGCTTCTGTTTTAGGAGATGAATTTGTGGCATGCCTTCTGGTCCGGGTGGTCATTGTCTGTCAAGACAATGAGTGTGCTTGTTGCAGACTGAGATAGGGAAACGAGCGTGTGTGTATGTGTGTGAATGTGGCAGTAGGACGTCAAGTGTGACGTTTGAATGAGAGAAACTCGATGTGTAGAACCACTAAAAACCTGACCTTGATGTAACTGAGTGGCTGAGTGTATGCACACTGGGTTTATTTTTGTGTTTTGTGCGTGGTTAAGTAACAGCTTACCCAGCACAAGGGTTGGCCAGTTGGCTATCCTCGCCTTCAAGCCTTGATGGAAAATCTCATGTAGGAACATGATGGTCTCACTGAAGACACAGTGTGAAAACAAAATGACAAAACATTTCTTTAAATCGTCAGTATCTCTATCTGCTTGTGCCTGTCGCATATTTGTCACTTCAGGGATTTGATTAAAACCATGCTGCTTTATCACACACACACACACACACACACACACACACACACACACACACACACACACACACACACACACACACACACACACACACACACACACACACACACCTGTTGAGGAAGATGCTGCTGACATCGTCGTGGCTGATGGGGGGTTTCTTGGAGCTGGCAGCCATCCTCAGAGGTCTGAGAAAACAGTTGACCAGGATGTAGAGCTGGTGGACGTACCTGTCATCACACATGGGCAAACAGGAAAAACATTATTTCAACATTATATCATATACATATTACATCAAATATATTGACTTATAATGCCTGAGTTCAGATTTAAAGAGGCTTTAGAACAGTGACAGTGAGGAAATAGCAAATATGTTCATTGAAGACACTAAATTGCACATGTACAGTTACATTTTTTAGTCAAGCAGCTTAATCTTATTTATGTTTTTAAATTGCACACCATTGTACTTGCACATTGCATATAGTGTATATATTTTTAATTTATAGTTTCATATTTTCTATTATATTTTGTAATATTCTTATTTGTAATAAGATTGTATGTACACTGTACTCTCTTTTTATTGCACTATATTCCCCAATGCTGCTGTGTGTAACTTGAATTTCTCCTACGGGGATTAATAAAGGAATATCTTTTCTTATCTTATCTGTTATTATTTATTGGTTTGGGTTTTTTTTGTAATATTGTAATAAACAGACCTGAACATAATGAATAATGAATGCCTGCCTTTGTTTGACCATTACAGTACATACAAATTACTAATCCTCTTTACTCAACATTTTATGGTATTTTAAACCCCATTCACCGAATATGTATATGTATAAGTTGCAATTTGCAATTTTAGTTTGACATGTTTCAGGGTCTGACAATCCGACTGATTCAATTCAATTTAATTAATGTACAGAGGAAATGGACCATATGTATAAACTCTTCTACCTTAGAGCATGTATTTTTATATCAACTGTCAAAACATAATATGATATAGTATATTGAAAATGAAAATTCAGTTGACAACAATCTAAAGGGGAAATATAGGATGGGAATATCTGTTATGGCTACTCCAGTAAAATAAAAGATCTAATTGAAGTACTTCATCACAATAATGCGAAGATCCTATAAATCCAATATCGTCATAGTGCAGTCCTGTTTGTACGGAGCCCCTAAAGGGACATGGGGAAAAAAAAAAAATTAAACGTTTCTCGTGCTCACAAGATACTTTCTCGCACTCAGGAGAAACCTTAGGTTAAGCACAGGCAGTTGTGCTTCCTGTGTATGCCTCTAGGCTCATTAACTGCGGTCAAGTCAGCCATTAGGGTGGCGATTCGTCCGGCTTTAGGCTGGACAGTCCTGCTTTTAAAGGCCCTGTCCGGCTGCAGCCTTAAGCCAGACACTCATTTGTCCTCCTTTTGAGAAAATAACAAAAAAGGTCGCCTTTTGACACATTACCTTGTTAGTTTTATTGGCTAAAAATGTGTGTCAAAAAAGCTGTGTCAAAATAAGTAATTTCATTGGTTACATTTTCGTGTGGTGACCTATCAACACATGGCTAATTTTGTAAGCACGAGAAACGTTTAATTTATTTTAATTTTTTTTCATGTCCCTTTAGGGGCTCCGTATGTTTGCTGATTTGCACAATTAAAATGGTTGACAATGTCTTATCATAATATTTATCATCATACCCCCCCACCGTACTATACATCGCTTACAGTAGCTATAACACATAATAAGGAACATCCTTTCTAAACCCTTGTGTACGGTAAATGAGATTTATATCATGTACTGCAAAGTGCTACTGTAATGTATTTGCATACTCTGTCTCTGCCTCCACCATGTTGAAGACGATCTGGTTCCTCTTCCTCATGCTCTCAGCGTGAGGAGAACAGATGTAGTCCTGAACGATGATCTTCCACTTCCTCCGACAGAGCCAGCCCCGCATGAAACTCTGCACCTGAAGAGATACAAACAAGGTAGCTCAGACACAGTCATACATACATACTGTGCAAGCAACATGCTCACACACTTGCAAGAAATTCCATGTAAGAAACCAGAAAAAACA